GCAGAAAGAAACACAAAATGGGTGAGCTCAGCACAGCGCTAATCTTGTAGAACTGCTGGATAGCTCAGTGGCTTAGGCATCTGGCTGTGGAGCCAGAGGTTGGGAGTTTGATTCCCCGCTGGGCCTCCTAGGCAGGGGCTGGACTCAATGATTCACAGGGTCCCCTTTGAGCTCTGCAGCTCTAAGACTGTATTGCCATCAGGTATTCAATCCCTGGCATTCCTCCCCATTCTCCTGTCCTCTTCCCATGCATGTCAATCTCACGTGATCTAAGCTTAAGCAACAGTTCAGTGAAGCTCTGCTCTTAGCATAGCTCCCGTATTAAAGGACACAGCGCCAATGGGCTGGAGCCATGCTTTTGATGGCCCCTGGCCTGCCACGTTGGTGTACTGTGCATAGACTGTGGGCAAAAATCCTCAGTTTCCCCAAAATGCATTACACCTGTGCTAGTTAGTTCCTTTTTCTTTTCTTTTTTCTTTAAAGTAGAAGCCCAGTTTCATAAACCTGTCCATAAACAAGATTAAAAACAACCAAGGTCAAACTTCTCTGATCCTTTTCTAAAGCATTTCTTAGAGTAAATAAAAAACAACAGAACGTGCCTGTATAGCTAAAGTGTCCTCCTTTAAAAGTGGAAATGATGCTTAAATGAAAGATTTTAAAAGCTGATATTGCATTAGTCGAAGTGTAATAAAATGCCTAATAAAGTAGACCCAGAAAGAAAAAAAAGAAGAAAAAGGAGGGAGGGGATAAGGAAGAAGGGAGAATGAGAAACATCAAGTTAGAGACATAAAAGCTAAGAAGAAGAATTTTAAAAGGGTTGCATTAGAAGCGGGAAACCTGCCAGACAGAATAGTGCAGGTCATTAGACCATCAAGATGTAAAAAGAGCACTTAAGGAAGGCAGAAATATTGCAGAGAAGTTAAATGAGGGCTTTGCATCTGTCTAAGACAAAGACAAGGTTAGGGAGATACACCCAGACTGTTCCCCAGGAAGGCGATAAATCTGAAGAAATGACACAAACTGAATCGTCTTTGGAGGACATTTCAGAGCAAATGGATAGATTAAACTCATAAATCACCTGGAGCAGATGGGATTCTCCCAAGAGTCCTAAAAGAACTGAAATATGAGATGACTGTAACATTAGCACCCGGATGGAGAAAGGGCAATCTGTGCTTCGGAGCCCTGATTGCCAAGGAAGGGGACTGCTTTGCTGAATGCCGACGGCGGGAGCAAAAAAGGCGCCTGGCAAGGCAAAAATGTACTGTATATAGAGAGAGCGACTCCGTTTCCGAACAGGAATCCAGTGCACACCTGCTAAGCAGATGGTCAGACTGCCGCTTTTGACAGCATCCATTATCTTTGCAGGGGAGATGGTGGTGGTGGTGGAGGAAATGAATTCAAGCACCTTCTTCTAATTGCCCAGGGTGATTGACAGTACCAGACCTGACCGTGCCAAACATCTGTTTCATAGGGAGATTCCACCATGTGCTTGGCTGCATATGCATCAGAGCCACTGGCCTACATCCAACTGCTTGTCCCAACCACAGCAGCCCCACGGAAGAAACTGGATTTACTTAGCCGGTGAACTACCATTCAGCACTTGTATGGAATGGGTCTACTCTTCTTGGAAATATACACAGATTTTTTTTCATCCTGGTTTCCAAGGATCAAAAGAAACCACTGAAGGGCAAATTGCCTTCAAATGCTGACCCACTCCCAGCTTCAAAGGGAGGATGGCATTTACAGCCAGCTGCTTATATAGGAGGTACATACAGTGGTGCCTCGCATTATGACGTTTTCATTCCAGCGAAATTACTGTAGAACAAAAACGGTGGCTGTTTTACCAGGCATCTGTCCCAGAAAACAGCGGGGACAGATTTTATTTACCTGGCGGCCATTTTGAAACTGCCGATCAGCTTTAGGAAAATTGTCGTTTTGTGAAGAATCAGTTCCTGAAGCAGAGAACCGATCGCAAAGCAAAAAAAGCCTATTCAGACCATCGTTTTGCGAGCGCAAAAGCGATTGCAAAAATGTTATCGTAATGCAGTTTTGTCATAATGGGGGGCAATCGTAAAGCGGGGAAAGACTGTACTCTGCTCATAACACATTTTTGGGTTGTGGGTTGTGGCTTGGTTGAGGATGTTGTAGACTACACACTATATTGCCCTTTGTGTACAGAACCAAGGATAAAAATCCTCTTTGGCTATGCTGACAATTGCCCCCAAAATGTGACAGTATAGCCCCTGGCCTTTTGTCACCTATCTTGTTGCTCTGTTCACTGTGGGAGCAAAGAAATTATGCTGTTCATTTTTTTTTAATTGAAATGTTCAGGGTAACTTAGCGTCTTGTTTTGAATCGTAAGTTTTAAAATCTTTGTAGCTCTTATTTTAGTTTTTATTGTACAAATTTACTAGAAGGGTTTTAAAAGTTTTGTTTAAATTGCACTTTTTAATACAGTTCTTCTCCTTGGTAGTTTTATTTCTCTATCTGTTACTATAATGGCCTGTGGCTAAATACAATTAAAGTTATATGATATGATCGTTGGAACTAACAATTTAGGCCTTAGTTCTTTTACTATAGAGCAATGAGGTTGCTAGTATTTTACTGGGGTTGTAAACAAATATTAACACAGTACTGGAATTTTATACGCCACTGAGCTTGGATTTTACTACTGGAGGATGGTGTTGTTGGAACTTGACAAATAATTAGTAACAAACAACAAGGAACTTGTAACCAATTCCTTTTTGCAGTAATTAAGGCACAATTAAGCAGCATTATAGCTGTAACAGAACAGAACTTCACTCCTTCTGTAGTGCAACTTTAATGGTTTTAGTTACTTTTTATGAGAGATCCAGTCTCATTACTTAAGTGTTGCAGACCAGCACCTTGTAGTGTGGTAATGTTTTGGTTTGAAGTGACTACAACAAAAATGATTAATTTTACTTGCTTTAGAGAAAGAGGAGAGTTAGTTTTTAAAAGTATAATCATAATGCTAACGAACCATGGGGGGGAGGAGTTGGAGTTGGAATTAATTAATTCTGAGCTTAACTATGCTGATAGCCAATGCAAATGCTATTGAAATCCTCTGGAGTCCCAATGACACATGTGCTGCCTTTGAAGGCAGCCATTTTGCAGCTGAAACACTTGAATTGATCTTAAGTTAAACTTTGAAACCTACCACAAAGACAAATGCACGCCAGTCATTTGGCACATGCTCCATGTAGCAAGTTATTATACAGTATGGCAGCATGTCTGTTGGTGATTGTCACCATGTAATGACCCATTATCATACGAGAGAGAGAGAGAGAGAGAGAGAATTTACAGATATGTACATACACAAGGAACATTGCCACAAGGAGGGCACTGGATCCCAGCACCATTTAGTAGGTTCGAAGGTGCCAGGGACTCTGAAAGCCCACTAGAGCACCAGAAGCAGTCGTATAGGACAGGAGATGGGGGTCCACCAAAGTCAGTGTTTGTGAACCAGCCCCATCCCACTCCCCGGATTTGCTTCTCCTCCTTGCTCCTGCAGCCTCTTGCTATTTTTCCTATCCCGGAGGGCAATAAGAGGAGCATAAGGATCATGAGCATCTGCTCCCCTTTGGCTGTTCCCTAAGAAACTCAAGATCTGATCCTATCTCCATACAAGATCACAGTTTTGCATCACTGAATGAAACAAAGAGGTTTGCAGTTGCCCAAATAAATGAATTAAAAATAATGTTAATTATTGCTAGGCAATGGAAATCAAAAACTGAATTGCAAATTGAAGAATGGTACAAAGAAATATGGAATATAGCAATAAATGATAAATTAACTTGTAATTTAAAGATTAAGAAAGGAGAGTTGAAAAAGAATAATTTTTACAAAATATGGGGCAAATTTTTGGAATATGCGCGAATAAGGGGGAAAAAGAAGAAGAAGAGGAGGAGGAGGGGGAGGAGGAAGAGGAAGAGGAGGAACAGGAAGAAGAAGAAGACGACAACGATGATGACACCGGCAAAAGGTCCCGTATATGGTGGTGGGGAACACAGTTATTGTATTTGAGTTTATATGTTTCGTGTACAGCAGTGGTTCTTAACCTTTGTTACTCGGATGCTTTTGAACTGCAATTCCCAGAAACCCCAGTCAGGACAGCAAGAAGAAGAAGAAGAAGAAGAAGAAGAAGAAGAAGAAGAAGAAGAAGAAGAAGAAGAAGAAGAAGAAGAAGAAGAAGAAGAAGAAGAAGAAGAAGAAGAAGAAGAAGAAGAAGAAGAAGATGGCAAGAGGTCCCGTACATGGTGGTGGGGAACACAGTCATTGTATTTGAGTTTATATGTTATATGTATATGTTTTTGTTTATGTCATAGTCATAGAAAATAAAAAATACTTTAAAAAATAAAAATAATGTTAGTTCGCAGACAGATAGAAGGCAGATATGATGTTTGTAATTAGCCCTAAACAGTACTATAGGACCCCCGTATCTGCAGAATCAGTATCTACCAATTCACTTATCCATGGTCTGAAAATATTCAAAATATTCAAAATATAATCCTAGAAATATATATTTCTAAAAATGAAGTTGCCAGAACTGGACACTAGAGGGGTTCAGAGACCATGCCATTTGCTATTAAAATAGCATTCACTATAATCTGTATTTTTCAGCAACTGCAGGAGGGCTTGGAACTGATTCCATGAGGATATGCAGCTCCTACTGTATGTAGTGGCATGGACCTGATTCGATTTAGGTACATGCCATTGTCGCATAGAAGATGGAGATGGTTATAACCGTTGTCCTCTTCATTGCAGACCCTCTTTTGGGAGCTCAGTTGGAGATCCATCTACCTGTGTTTTGGGTTTTTTTTTTATGATTGTATGCTAGGGCTAACTGTGTGATGAACATCTCATCTAATGTGCCTATTGGTTTGTAATAGGAAGTGTATGAGTGTGGACGAATGAATGAATGAATGAATGACAGGGGCAGAAAATGCACTTTTAAGAAGGGTTTGGGATTGAATGCACACCTGACCAGGTGGGAGGTCGAGATGCAGCTGTTTCTGGCTGGTTCCAAAGCCACTTACCAGCTCGTCACGTTGGATCTCTTGGGACTTGTACACCATGCCTTTGACATCTGAAGCAGATATATTGACCTATGGTGAAGAGAGTAAAAAATATCCATTTTGAAAGAGCAACTGGAGGACAAAATAAGAGCCTTAAGGGTAAACAAGCAGCATTTTCCCTCTCTTAAGCACCAAGGAGTTCAACCTACAAGGGGCAACTGAAGGCATGGATCCTATCTACTGTAAATAGCCCTCATGGCCCCAGATACATAACCTAAGTGGTCTGGCACATCTTCTTTCAGGCCTGACAGAGACAGGTCAAAACATACTAGCATAATGGGGTAAAACCTCCTAAGCATCTGCTGGTACTGTATCAACATCCACCCAGAGAACTGTTCACTGGAAACCATCACAAAGTCATCATTTCCCTACAAGCAGGATCTCAAGAAGGTTAAGAGGGGACATGATAGCCATGCTTAAATATCTGAAGGGATGTCATGGCGAGGAAGGGACAGGTTTGTTTTCCACGACTCCAGACACTAGGACAAGGAGCAATGGTTTCAAACTACAGGAAAAAGAGATTCCACCTGAATCTCAGGAAGAACTTCCTGACAGTCAGAGCTGGTCGGCAGTGGAATAGGCTGCCTCAGAGTATGGTAGAGTCTCCTTCTTTGGAGGTTTTTAGGCAGAGGCTGGATGGCCATCTGTCGGGAGTGCTTTGATGGAGTTCCTGCATGGTAGGGGGTTGGACTCAATGGCCCCTGTGGTCTTTTCCCACTCTGTGATTCTATGATTCTATCTCAGAGGGTTCAACAAATGTCCTTTGTTGAGCCTTCAAAACTAGCTCCGCATCTAGTGCAAAAATGAAAGGATTTCTGAGTCAAAGATTATTTTGAAAAATACTATGATCCAAGAGAAACATAAAAATGATGAAGACGTAGAAGACAAATTGATAAGATAGGCAGTGTGATCTAGTGGTTAGAGTACTGGAAGAGGGCTTGGTTCAAGTCTCCATACAACCAAGAAGCTGATGAAGTGCCCCTTGGACCATTTATTCCCTTTCAGCCCAACTCAGAAGAGGGAGTTCTACTTTCTCCACTTGTTTACGGACACCATAAACCTGATTTCTCAGCCCAGGAATTTAAGTACCAAAATGAAACATAAATCACAATCCTTCCACCTCAAAAATCTATTCTTCATAATACCGGATTTTATTTATTTCAGCTGCTATTGTTAGACAACTGAGAGTTAGAAATCCTTCTGAAACTACAACAAATCATGCAGAAATCTATCAAGAGAGTAAGATATGTATTTTCCCACCCTTGGTAGGAGCTACAAGATTGTTGTGAGGCTAAACTAGGGAAGGGAGAGTGAGAATTTTGTGTGTGTGTGTGAGTGTGTGTGTGTGTGAGAGAGAGAGTGAGTAAGAGAGAGAGAGCACACCAGTGTACTGTAATGCAGGGGTCCCCAACCCCTGGTCTGCAGCCCGATGCTGTTCCATGGGCTTCTTGGAACTGGGTCGCAGAGATGGATCTCCACCACCACCCTGCACGCACGGCCACTGGGCATGTCACGCTTGCAGGTGGGTGTGTTGCACTCACAGGTGGGCAGTCACATGTGTGCAAGCACAACACACCCCTCTGTGAGCATGACACACTCCTCTATGAGTGTGACACGCCCACCTGTGAATGCGGGGGTGCCACCCATGCATGGAGCCCGCACCCTCCAACTGGTCCATGGTCCCAAAAAGCATGGGAACCACTGGACCAAGTTGCAGATGAGGATTCAGGAGACATAGGTTCAAATCCACATTTAGCTGTGGAAACATACTGGGGGTTGGCAATAGTAAAGCTCTCTTTGAACATCTCATGTATCTTAAAAGAAACCTCTACTGAGTGCATATCAAAAATGTGTGTGTTTCTATCTCACCATACAGCACCAAATCTCAGGACAGGGAATAATTATAACATTTCCTTAAGAGAACCTAGAACAGTTCAGGAACTTAAAAGCCACTGAAAACCATTTTGAAACATGTTAAAATAATTTACCAGGTGAAACAAAACAAAACTGATAGAACTGAAAGACTGGAGACAAAGCCATGATGTCACTGAGCCTGAAATGTTCAGGTGAATAGCTAAGTTTTAATTTGGTGCCAAAATAAATACAAATGTAAATTACAGTCATGTTAAATGTGATAAGTTTAATAAAAACAATGAGTTGCAAAGTACCTCTTCTGAGCTTACCTTATGTTCGTACTCATACAATAAGGCTTTGTCACTAGTGGGATAATCATATTCTGCCAGTCCTGAAGCTGTAGAGAAGGAAAGCACAATTTTAAGCACATAAAATATTTCAGTTTTCTTTCATCTTGGCCTGTTCTGGGTGAGACATGATCAAACACTCTCCTCCACCCCCTGAAAACACTCTGGAAAGGAGATAGATAGTCAAGTGTGTAGCTGGATACTCACCTTTCTTGTTAGCTTGTTCAGAATCTGCCATTTCCCCACAGAGGACCAGAAGGAAAGAGAGAGCATGTCAGAAAGAAAAAAAAAGAACAGAAAAAGAAACACATTTTTGAGGTGAAAGGCAGAAAAAAAGAGAAAGACAACATAGCACTGAGACAGTAGAGACAAAGCCAGTGACAGCGTCACCTGGGTTTCAGGCTGTGTTCTGAGGGAAGACTGGAGTTCACTGGACACCTATCAGACTGGACTGCTCTCGGACGCCTTGAGGAGAACGCCAGTAATGGTGGACTCATTCACCGAAAAAGACTACTCGCCCTGCACTCACTCTTTGGACTGCACGGCCCACAGGAGAACAGAGACATCTAAGAGAGGTTGACCAAGACAAATGTGGCCATCCAGGTGTTGTTAAACTGCAGCTCCCCACAGCCCTTGCCAGTGGAGCCGTTCCTCATCTACAGCCTGAATTAGACAACATCCTGACAGTCAAGTAACACACAGTGCTTGAATCATGCAGCACCACCTACCCATGGTCACTGCAGGTGGGGAGAGAGAAAGGATCACAGAATGTGGGGCATGTGACATTTCTTCCATTCCTAATATTTTCATTCCCCTGCCATCCCTCTGCATGATTATCAATGGCAGATTTGAAATTCCTATTGGCAGAAATGGATTTTTTTTTAAAAAAAACAAACACTAATATTCCAAGCTGTGTGAAAATGAGGTAGCTTGAAAATAAAGACAACACTTCCAATACAACAAAAATTGCCCCCATGCCTGTAATTACTTAAAGAAGGAAAACTGCACACTGTGCCTGGAGCATAAGCTGTAGATTGTCTCTGAGTGAATGGTGAGCCCCAGAACATGTCCTAGAATTTCTCTATTTTCAACGAATGTTTTTTTTTCTGCCGGGTTTCAAGGGATTTCTTAGCAGACAGGCCAAGGGGGAGAGAGTTTGCTCCAAAGACAAACAAGACTGGAAGACATGGAACACTGCCTTGCGCCAAAAACAAGAAGAAAGGGGTGTTTAATTCTCATGCTGAATTTTCACTTCTTGGTGAAGGAAAGCACAGGTATTTGCATAATACCACTAGAGGATTATGGGAGGACCACCTAGCTCCTGATGGGGGTCCCTCAGGGCACCCCAAAACACTGAGGAGCTCTCTTGGCCTCTGGCAGGACTGGGGCTGTGCAGCCGTGTATTGAGTGGGAGGTGTAGCCAGGGGGTCACCATGCTTGGGGGTCAGGGGACAGAAAGGGGCATGAGATGCAAGGGCCATTCCAATTCATATCTTGTAGCGGAAATACCTTGTCATAAAAGTGGTTTTCCCAGGGAGGGGCTCATCCATTACACTTTGGGTGTGCTGCTGATCCCTATGAATCCCCCAAATGTGGGGAACTCAACTGCATAATTTGTGTTAATAGGAAACTGCACTTGTTATTTCCCTGGTTTTTCTAGATTCCTTTTCATCTCTCTTTCTCCTCATCAGGACTTATTGCAAAGGCAGCAAGTCTTGGTGATGTCTTATATTGCGTTCTTCCTCTTTTTCTCCCCTATGGTAAAGGAACAGGGCAAAAGGTGTCACCATTAGCAGGAGGCAGGGGGCTGCTTTGACTCCTTTCATCCTCTTTCTTTGTTGCTGGAGAGAGAAAGAGGAGGAAGGCCATCTGAGACCCATTGAATTTCCAAAGGCAGTGCAGGTGAGGGGATTGTTTTTCCCCAATATGGTATGGGGAACTGTGTTTTGCAAGACGGTGTCTTCTATGGACAATTTTCGCAAGACAGAGATTTTTTCCCCAATTGGAACGCATATACCTCTGCATCGCAACTCTTCCCATTCTGCTGGATCTCCTGTACTTTGTGATGTTTTCAGAGGCTTGAGAGATGAGGGAAGTGCATCTTCCACAAGTCTAGCAGCATATGCCTAAATCTGAACTGAATTCACATTGTCTAGGGGGCCACAACACCTGGCCAGTGCTTGGATGCATTGTTACAAGTTATGTAGCTACCTGTTACTGTTATATACACTGATTTGTTTTTTACAGGAACCAAAGTTACATTTCAAAAGCAGTACAATAAGTAGGAGTAAAATCACTGGTGTAATGAAATAACATTTTCTTAAAGTTACTTTTAAAAGGAAATTTTTTTGTAAATAGTGGAAAAATAATGAGTAGTCTAACAAGTAACACGATCTGTAAGATTCCCACTGAATTCACATTGTCTAGGGGGCCACAAAACCTGGCCAGTGCTTGGATGAATTGTTGCAAGTTATGTAGCTACCTGTAACTGTAAGATTCCCAACCCTGTAACAAGTAACTATGGGTCACTCTTGAAATACTGTAATGAGCAATGAGAAAGAACTTCTGCTGAAAAGCAACTTTCCAAGCCCTACGTAGGACCACGATCATGTAGTTGGGAATGCCAGTGAAGGGAATGTTGGATGATGGAGAAAACAAACTCCATTCCTGGGGGCTGAATGACTTCATTCCATCAACTTCCAGCCATCCTTACTCAGAGTTCCACCTGAATGACTTCATTCCATCAACTTCCAGCCAGAGTTCCACCAATGTCCTTGCCAGTGTAGCAGCCATCTGGCATCATTGGATCTGCCTGCTTTGGGGGTTTCTTTCTTCAGACACACCTCCTTTATCTGCTATATTGGTTCATTCCCAGGTCATTGCCTTGCTCTAGGGAACGGCCACACATCGCTCCACCTAGCTCTCTGCATACCAAGGAGATCACATCACCACTACCATCGACAGACCCAATTATTCTTTCTTCCCCCCCTTCCATTCCTCTTCTGTTCATGTACTGAATCTGCAAACGTTATCAAATGACTGAAACGAACTGGGCGGAGTAGGGGATTGTTACAGGACAAGAGCCGCAAGGACCATCCCGGGTATATGTGTGTGTGACACCTCTGGAAAATGAACCACCACAAGCCAGAACTGTTCCCCTCCTCCCAGCACTAAAGGTCCCGTTGAAAATCTCCTCTCATTAAAGTTGCAATTGCTGGGAACACCCTAGAGCAGTGTTCCCCAACCTTGGGCCTCCAGATGTTTTTGTACTACAACTCCCAGAAGCCTTCACCACTACCTCTGCTGGCCAGGATTTCTGGGAGTTGAAGTCCAAGAACATCTGGAGGCCCAAGGTTGGGGACCACTGCCCTCGAGCACAGACAGCAGGCACCCTCATGGGGGAATGAGGTCAGCCTGAGTGAGGAGGGATGGGGTCATTTAAACTGGTTTTGCTGAGTAGAGAGATGAAAAGTGATCAGCATCCACACTCAGGTGATCCAGGTCCCTGTATTTGCAATTTGGAAAATGTTGAACCATTAGAGACTAATTAAAAGGGCATGTCCAGACTGGTCCTTTTGGTGTGGGTTAGTGTGGTCTAAATAGGGTTGGTTGAGGTCTTGGGGAGGGGGAGCGATATGCTACTTGGTGTGATCCTCACATCCAAATAACATATAGACCTCAAGCAACACGATTTCCAGTATCCCAAAGTGGCAAGTTTGTGTAAAGCCAGAATCCGGGAGTAAAGAAATGGGTTCAAGTATGGCTAGGAATGGCAGAAGTGGAAAAAGAGAGAGAGGCAAGCTACGTGCAAGGGCAGAAAAAGCCGCTGGGACAGCTGGACAAAAGCAGAGACACACACACACACCCTTCGCACTCCCCTTTGGCTGCACTGAGTTTGGAGATGGGGAGGGAGGGAGGGGGAGGCAGAGAGAAAGGGGCAGGAGACACAGGGAAGGGGTGCGCATGTGATCTCCCACCTTGCCCCGATGGAGACAAAATAAAGGGACCCCCTTTTGTACCTTGCATTGTATGCACACACACATATATACAGTATACACAGAGAGAGAGAGAGAGAGAGAGAGAGAAGAGTTGGGGATTGTCTAGCTCAAAGCAGATTAAAAAGGCAAGGGGCGTGGGCGTACCCGAACAAGAGACCTCGGCAACAGGATCTGTGTCCATATAAAAACAAAACAGACTCTTAACACTCTACTGCAGATCAAGCCACACTTGCCTTTTTTGCCTGTCTTTTGCGTGCAACAGGAACATTCCCCATGGGGGGAAAAAGGGGAGGAAAGGGGAGGGAAAACCCCATGGCGTCTTTCTTTGCTTTCTTAAGTGTTCAGTTTGCTGATATCTCAAAGCAGCTCATTTATTAAGCCAATTCATGATACTGGAAATTCAAACTGGAAGGAGCCTTGATGGCTTTGGCAGTTACAGGATTCAACACGCACTGGGAATGGACTAAACTAGAGCACACCAACCTGTACCAAAAAAAGCAGATGCTTCTGCCAGGGGCTCAAAAAGGTGCAGACAAGGGCACTCTGGGGGCATGTTGGTCCACTCATCATGGGGACCCTGGGGGGGGGGGAGAAGCAGATCAATCTGCCCCAGCAACACATCAGACAAGGAGACAAATGCCTGTCTGGACATGCATGAAATTAATTCACATATTTACGTGCCGTCCTGTTTCACCCTCAGAATATGTGAACTAAGAACTACAAACAATTGTTCTAATGCCTACACAATCATGACCCAGTAAGTTGAATGCTATTCATCTCCTTGCAGCCTCATGGACTGCTTTCTCTATGGTATCATGGCTCATCTAGCCCAGTGTTATGTGCTTTGACCATCAGCAATACCTCTGCACCTTTGGAAGAGATCTTTCCCATCACCTGCTATCTGATTTTTTAAAACTAGAGATGCAATGAAGCTGGCAAATGCACAGACTATACCTGAGTCAAGACTGCTGCCTTCTTTGCAGTGAAGACAGGAAGACGTATCAACCGCCTGATAAATCAACTACACAGTCGCCATACATCACTCACGTCAGATGGTTCCTTCCATCAAAATCAAAGCAAAGCAAAGGACACTGCTTATAAACTGCCCCACAGGACTTAAAACACTCTCTGGGCAGTTTAATTACAGTGGTGCCTCGCATAGCGACGTTAATCGGTGCAGCAAAAATCGCTGCAAAGCGATTTCGTCGCTATGCGATTTTAAAAAGCCCATTGGAATGCATTGAAACCCCTTCAATGCGTTCCTATGGCTTCAGACTCACCTTAAAGCGAAAATCCTCCATACGGTGGCCATTTTCGCTGCCCGGTAAGCGAGGAATCCGTCCCTAAACACAGCGGGCGGCCATTTTTTTTACCCGGTGGCCATTTTGGAACCGCCGATCAGCTGTTGGAAAATCATCGCTATGCGATATTCGGTAACCGAAACAGGGTACCGATCATCGCAAAGCGATTTTTCCCCATTTAAAACATCGCAATGTGATCGCAAAAAGTTCGTCGGTATGCGATTTCGTCGTTAAACGGGGCGCCCATTAAGCGAGGCACCACTGTACACAGGCTACACATTGGGCCCTCCACCTGCCCAGTGAGCTGAGTACTCAGTTTACCAACCTTGGAAGGATGCAAACTGAGTCAACATTGAATTGGCTACCTAAGCCTGTTGGGAATGAACTCAGGTCGTGAGCAGAGTCTTCAATGCAGTACTGCAGTTTAACCACTGCACCACGAGGAACACTGGTCTAATTGCTAACCAATCTCTCAGGACAACCTCGCTCAAGCCATTTCAAGGAAACAAATTTAGAATCTAGAAGTTAAGTTTTATAAAACATAAAAACAGAGCAGTAGTTCATTGGAAGGTGCCTTAATCCAGGTCAAACTCTGTATTTTCTTCTTGAACAATGCAGAAGATTTCCAGTGTCTACAGAAAAAGCCTTTCATATAATCACCTTTCAGGACCTGAGAATTTCTGAGCACAAAAAGCGCCTGCTCCACCACTGAGCTATTGTCCCCCACCTAACAAATGATCAGTGTCCATCAAACTGAATGGAACATCTATTTTTCCTTTAAAAATTCCTTTCATCATTTGCTCTTCTGGTCTTTGATCATGCTGCAAACCATCTTTCTCCCTAGGCATGCAACCTCAGCATTATTCCCTATTCTTCATTATCCTTTGATCCACAGAGGAAATCTGTCACCAAAAACCAACCATTTTTAAAACCCAGAATTTATCTCCAACAGTTCTTTTCTTTCTATCCCTACTGCTTTGGCTTTAGTAGCTTTCCTCATTATTTCTCTTCTCTATTGTTAGATTTCTCACCACTTTATTTCATCTACTTTTACTTTGAATCTGCAGGTAGACACTGTCTGTATTACAACTGCATATACCACTGCATATTTCATCTGACTGGCAAATTGTATGACCACCTTAGCCAGAAAGCCACCCTCCCTATTACAGGAGGATTTTGCACAATCTAATAGAATTACCAAAAATAATGGTTACATTTTTTTACTGTATTTGGTCTTCTGGAAAGCAAAATCTTGAATCCCAAATTTTATTTTTCTTAACCTAAAATATGATACAGTGGTGCCTTGCTTAACGATGATAATTAGTTCCAGGAAAATCGCCATTAAGCGAAAACATCATAAAATGAAATTAAAAACCCCATTGAAACGCACTGAAACCTGTTCAATGCGTTCCAATGGGGTAAAAACTCATCGTCCAGCGAAGATCTTCCATAGGGTGGCCATTTTCGCTGCCTGTATCACGAGGAATCCGTCCCTAAACACAGCGGGGAGCCATTTTAAGCACCCGGTGGCCATTTTGAAACTGCCGATCAGCTGTTAAAAACCATCGTTTTGTGAAGAATTGGTTCCTGAAGCAGGGAACCGATCATCACAAAGCGAAAAAATCCTATTTAGACCATCGTTTTGCAATCGCAATTGCGATCGCAAAAAGATCGTTGTACAGCGATTTTGTTGTAATGCGGGGCAATCGTTAAGCGAGGCACCACTGTATTCTGGTTTTAATGAGTTCTGAAGAAGGCTGCAAAGCCAGAGGTTGGGAGTTAAATTCCCCACTGTGCCTCCTGGGAGAAGAGCTAACCTGTGTGGCTTTGGGCAAGCTGTGTAGTCCTAGGGCAACCCCAAAAGAAATAGTAAACCACAGCTGAGTATTCTCTACCTGGAAAACCCTGAAAAGGTTCACCATAAGTAAGAATTGGCTTGATGGGCCTGTGTGGCTTTGGGCAAGCTGTGTAGTCCTAGGGCAACCCCAAAAGAAATAGTAAACCACAGCTGAGTATTCTCTACCTGGAAAACCCTGAAAAGGTCCACCATAAGTAAGAATTGGCTTGATGGTACATGATTATTGTTAAGAATATCGTGAAAACCCTATTAGGGTTGCTATTCTATCAATTCTGACTTGATGGCATATAGCAAGAAGAAGAATACCTAGCTTTCAGTCCCGAATTCTGGGGGGAAAAGTCACGTTTTTGTATTTGGTGAAATAATCATGGAAAACATCAGTTTCAAAAAGTACAGTATCTGAAAACATCTTACACACAATAGTCAAATCTCAGTCTGCAAGTCAAACCTAAATTTTGCGGCCAGAGAAGTCTGTAACTCAAAAAGTCTGTAAGTCAAGCCGTCTGTAAGTCAAGGGTCCACTGTACTGGTAATATTGGTCTATTTATCTGTAACTACAAATGAGGGGAAAATTAGGAGAATGGATTCAAACCCAAATTACACAGAATTCTCTTAGTGATTGAAGGATATAGAATAAAGGTTCTCTACCTCTGCAAGATATTGGCAGAAATATTTAAAATGCTTTCTAGTGTATCCGTGAATTCTAACAGTCTCTGATGCCATGAGTATTTTAAATAATTTCAATGCCCCTATTACAAAATAAGCCATAACTTAAATACAAAACAGAACACCCTACAGCGTCAGGTTCAATACTGGTCTAAAACTAATGTGTTTCTTAGAGTCAAACCAGCACATTCCTTACAATTAACTTGTTTCTCCTCCCACAATAGGATTTCCTTATTTACATGTTTCCACACTCAAACTTACAAATTAACTCCCTGTTTACCATTCAAACAACCAATCACAAAACAAAACATGCTAAATGCAATAGATAGTGAGGGAAAATGATATGCTCCAATTTTGCAAAAATATGATGAAAAAATGTCTAGTTTCACTTTATGCTCAAAGCATTTGAAGAGAAATGAAAACACAGAACCAAAAATTATAGTTTGGTGTCAGCCTAACATGTGCATAAAGGGGAGTCCAGTTTTCCCTCAGGGAAACATTGCCCTAAATGTCTACAAGCCAAAGAGCAGGTCTTGTTGATCAACGGACCACATGTCAAGCTCCAAGGTCACTTAACCTGTGCCATAAGGACTGTGCCATAAAACAACACTTCATCATATAGACAGTTCTATTTACCTTCTCCATCACGTGGGTAAGAACGGCTCTCAGAAACCAAGTCCTCACTACTGTCCATGGGCAGGAATTCCTCTGTGGTGCGTGTCTCAGAGATAGAGGTGGTGAGGAGGTCATTGGTAGACACGCGCTCCGATCGCAGCAGTTCCTCTAGAAGCACATCACAAACACACACACACACAAAAGGGAACAGTTCATGAAACTCAATAGGCGACCCTGGCCGAGTCTCTTAGCCTGACTTGCATCATAGGGTTGACATGAAGATAAAATGGGATAAAAGGAGAGCTAAAATAACACCCTGAGCTCACTGGAGGAGAGGTAAAAACATAAATGGAAATGAGATATACAAAATAGGGATATGAAATATAACATGTGTAGATGCACACGGATATACTATGATGTATTATGGGAATAAGGCTCAAGTTTTCCTGTAGTCAGAAATTATATAATAGATAAGCTGGTATGGGAAATACCTCCCCGCTTATATGTTTTGTTGGTCTTATGTGTTTTTGATTGTCTTGTAGGTTTTTGTTTGTTTTGTAGGCATGTATGTCTTAAAAATAATAATAAAAACAAAACAAAACACATAAATGTAAATAAATAAAATTCCTTTATCCCAAGGAATGAATGTATAAATGAATGAATGAATGGCAACGAACTCCAGATTCAATCTTATCAGCAACAAAGCACGTACGGACACAACTGTTTATCCAAACCATTTTATTTAAAGACTCAGCAACGAGATGCTTTTTCTGCTCAAGGGCCAGCTGACTATAGCAATGTCCAGGAAGGGCTTGGGAGGAATGAGAGCATCTCATAGGGTTAGGTATTTTGCAACAGAAAGAAGAGGAGCTTTTTAATGTAAATCCAAGAGATGACACACTTCTTAAAAATCTCCCTTGGTTGGGTTTGGTGGGCTGAAAACAGGACCGAGTCAAAACAGATGTGAGGTCAAATTTATCAAAGAATTAAGATAGGTCCCCTGCCGTGGCAAGGCTGGCAATCAATTAGCCATGGCTGGTTTAAAAACAATAGTGAGTTTTAGGGCGGGCAGGTGGAAAAGAAGCAGCCAAAAGGGGAGAGATCTGGACTCTTTGGGAGAAACTGAGAAGAGCTGGTGCCATCTAACATTCAGGAAATTGGAGGTACATACCAATGTCTCCTCGAAGCTCCTGTGCAAGTTGAGGATTCTTGTAGAGCAACGCCAGACTTTGGTTCATCCGTTCTTCAATTACATGTAGGTGGGTATATACCTGGCAGGGGGAAAGAGGGCAGCTGGGGTTATTTCTCCCCAATGAATGGAGCAGATGGCTTTAGAGGAGTGTATTACATGCCTCCAACCCACCATGGAGCACAACAATGCCTTCCAACAAAATTCAAAGTGTCTGGAAGTACATTTCCATTTTATTTATTTATTTAGTATTTTTTTATTTATTAATTTGATTTATCCCCCGCCTATCTGGACTACTCGTCCACTCTAGGCGGCTTACAATATAGGATAAAACAATAAACTCAAGAATGTGCATAGTCGTTCAATAACAATTGTAATAAAGTAGAAGGAAAAAAAATAAAGGAAAATAGAAAGAAATCAGGTATTGACTGGAGGGAAGGCCTGGATGCATGAAATATTTTATCTCTCTCTATATCATACTTGATGGTGTTGTTTTGACTTGTATACCACCCTATAGTGCTAGAGTAGTCTCTGGATAGTTTACAACATAATTATGCAAACAGCCCCCTCCCCCCGTGATCTGGGTACTCATTTTACCTCAGAAAAATAGAAGGCTGAGTCAGTCTTGAGTTGGCTACCTGAACTGTCGGGATTGGACACAGGCTGTGAGCAGAGGTTTGACTGCAGTACTGCCATTTAACCACTCCACCAATGGGAAGGTTTAGAAAATCATGCAGGGCAAAATGTGATTTTAAATGACAATAACACTTCCTCAAGGCTTCTAGGAGTGCAATTCTCCATTTTGAACTTTTCTCTTTTTCCAGGGGTGGCACTCTGAGGTCAGAAAAATGGGTAGTGGAAGCTGCTTGTGCGTCACAGCTAGATCACTGCATAGCATAGGCATCCTTCAGTCTCGAGAGACTATGGTATCGTGCTCTGCATGGAGGACTTGGAACAGCATCTAGTGTGGCTGAGAAGGCCAATTCAAGAGTG